ATGAGCTGGCAGATGCTGGTACTGTAATTCACTGTAACGAAACAAACTGAGACCAGGGCTCGAACAGCTAGTACGATGCATGGCACGGACCTTTATGAAGGGTATCTTGTGAGCTGTGCACATTACAACTCTTCTCATTCAGTTCTTAGGGTTGACTCATTCAGGTGGCAGACACTTGCAAATGTATGGCGTGTCAGGAATTGCACCAGGTTCCTGACTCACAGTTAGAGACAGTCCCTACTTCACGTCATTTTACAGATGAGAAATCAGAGGACTTCAACAACTTTCTCAAGGTGATTTAGCCAATAATGAAAGAGGAGCGATTAATATTGATGGGGGCCACGTGGAACATCGGGAGTGACATTTAAGCTTCACCTTTAAAGAATCAGTTAGATTTGGGCAGACAGATGAGAGAATTGTTCCAGATCAGGGAACCCTGTCAGCAGGGTAGAAGTGGAAACTCACAAGGCAGATTGTGAGCTTAGGGATGACTTCAGAGTGATTTGTGTGAGAAGTTCCAGTTTTGAGAGCTGGGTCAACTGTGTCAGGCATGAATGTCATAGCTTTATCCCGCAGGCCCTGGTGCGCTAGTAATTTTGTTGCTGTGTTCCTGGAGGGAGTGGTATGATCAGATTTGTTTTCAGAAACTCAAAGGGAGATCAGGGTGGTTGAGAGTAGTCCCCAGCTTTTTATACTATTTTTAAGGAAGATAATTTTTCGAAGGGGATATAGGGGAAGACAATGGGGATGGTTTCAGGATAATTGAAAGAAGCCCTTAGCCTGGATTTCTGGTATGTGCAATTCACAGTAGGGCTTGAACCTCTGTGAGAATCTAATGTCATTGCTGATCCGACAGGAGGCAGAACTCAGGTGAGAATGAGAGAGGCCAGCTACTGCAAATACAGATGATGGTTACACTGCTTGCTTGCAACTCACCTCCTACTGCGCTGCCTGGATCCCAGCAGGCCACCAACTGGTACTAGTCTAAAGTCTAGTCAGTCCCCGGAGCTGGTATGCCTGGGTTGGATCCCAGTCCTGACACTCACAAGCTGTAGGACTGCCTCTTGGGTTTCCCCTCAGTAAAACAGGGCTATAATAATAGTGCTGGCCTCAGAGAGTGCTTCTAAGAATTCACTTTCCTTATACAGGGAAGGTTCATAAGGGTGTTAGCTGTATATTTACAGTAAGTAGATATCAGTTGTTATTCTTAGTTCTATGGCATCCCTGTCAAGGAAGCGTTAGATGAGATGGTAGGTAGCAGGCTATTTCACCTGTCCAAGTAAAAGATAAGGGCTTAAACTAAGGCTGTGAGGATGGAGAGATGAAAGTATGAAAGCATCATGGGAAGGTGGAATGGAGAGGAACAGGGGACTGACTAGCCAAGGAGAAAGAAAGGGAGAGAGGAGACCAAGATGGCAGATGACGCAACGGAGTGACGGGAATAGCAAGCAGAGCTGTGACAGGAGCAGGGAGGTCAGGCACCAGGTTTCAGGGGACTGGGAAATTTACATAGTGATGTCTATGAGGTACAGTCCAGGATTTCATCTGACTGAGAAACAAACACTTCCTTTTCACACTGAGCAACTCTGGACCATTTGAGGACCGTAGCAGCTCTGTGATCTCACATATCTGAGGGAGATAGGAACAGGCCTGGAGGGACAGCTTTGGAGACAGCTACGGTGGGCCCTTTCCCTCAGTGCTGTCTACCAGGACTATCCTGTGTTCATAAAGACATTCAAGAAAGCATAAATTAAATTTATATCCCACAATAGTTGATCCAACCTGTCTGTCCAGCACATGCTTATGCTAGAAGCATACTTTCAAAAAGAGCTTCAATAATGATTTTTTACTTAGCTAGTTGCCTACCAATTTTCTTTGGAACTATTACAAACACAGCAAACTATATATATATA